TTGATTGTGCTAGCAGACACTTCATTCCAGACAATCTTTATTGTTATTGATATTTTGGCTAATTAAAAAATTATGAACGTAGCAAATCTTTAATTGAATATATAAGACTACAAAAATTAATTAATTGGTTTTCATAATCCAGCTAGATCAACTCAAAAAAAAAATTTTTTGATTTTACAGCTGTTTTTATAAATTCTAAGAAACTGATAAAAATTGTCTCAGCAAAATTTGATAAGTTTTTGAATTCAATGTCATTGGTATTGGATTTTAGCATTATAGTAGTATTGAAAACATTAAATTTAAAACTTATCAAATTTGGCTAAAACAATTTTTATCAGTTGTTTCAGAATTTATGAGAACAGCTATAAAAAACTTTATAAAATTTTTTAAAAAAAGCTAGCCAGCCAGCTGGATCAATTTAAAAGATACATGTAATGAAAACTAATAAATTAAATTCATATTGCCTAATATTTGAACTATTTTTAATTTTTTTTTAAAAAAAATTTAAATATAGTTTAATACTAACACTAACCTTTACCCATCTTATAGCTTGCAACTGATTAACTTTGTATATATTGCTTTCTCTAGCTTCATCTTGATTAATTGCATGTTGAAGTTGTATACAATGATAATGAAGCTAAACAATGCAATGATGTTAATGTCTATTGGCTGTATCTTTGATGTTACATTTGAAGATAGTTTAAGTACCTCTATATTAGTTAAAGTAATAGCACCAGTAATATGTAAAGAGACACTATTCAAGATAAGTAAAATGTGACGATTTGACTCTCTTATTTCTTTGTCAAAATTTTCAATCCATTTCTAAAAAAATATTATATTCAATAACTTTATTAACTAAACAATTTTTGATTCACATTTACAGGTTGAGTTAATGAATATCAGGTACATACCAGGAAAAGTCTCCTAATATGTATCTGGTAGTTTGCCATAGATCTGTGAATCTATAGCAGACTACCAGATACATATTAGAAGACTTGTCTTCCTGGCATGTGCCTGATATTTAATCTATGATTATTATCTGAAAAAACTTAGCAGTCATCCAGGCTTTTAAATTATTTTGATAATAAAACCCAAGTTCCTCTCTAGTTTTTTTTTTAAAACACCTAGGTTTTGCAGCATTACCAATAATGAAGGGTTGAAACTTGTGTATATCATTAGCATTAGATATAAGTATAACTATAAGTTGGATACAATTTTTTTTTGCCTCTTCAATTTGATGAGATGTAATAGTATGATCAGGAGCCATAGAATAAAATAATCCAGTCGTATCTATATTATAAATATCTCTTAGAGGATATTTATCAGTTTTTTGAATAATAATAGGAAGATTTAATTCAATAGCTTCAAAATCAGCAAAACCACTTTTACTATAAAGTCTAAAGTTACTAAAATTATGTCTTTCTTGAAAAGCTTGTAACCATCCATTTGAGAACTCTGGATAGTTATCTTCTGGAATTTTCATTAAATCTGCTAATTTTTTTCTCTTGGCTTTGATCATATCTCCATTTAGACATATATCTTGATCTACACATTGTAAAACCCAATTCGCCAACGCAATGTCTAATTCAGGAAATATAACAATACGGTGTCTTTTAACTCCAAGATCACTTGTAGATATTGTTTTAAACTCTTCCTTTCTTTTTAAAATTTTGGAAATTGTATTTTAAGCTAGGGCTTTTAATAGATTGAATTCTTTTTTTGCCCACTTTGCAAGCTCTTTTTGGGTAAGGTTGGGATTGGTATAATGATGATCACATATTGATTTTCTCTGATCATTTTACAAATTGCTAGCTAAAACGATCTTATCTTTTTTTTTCTCATAATTATAGCAAATAAAGAAAGTATTTTATGAAGTCAAGAAGAAAATTTAACAAGAAAAATTATTAATATGAGTCTACTATATTGTTAATTTAAATATTTAAATATTTATTATTTATTTACAGAATTATTATAATTTTTTATTACATAATTTTGCCATTTTTGATTTATCAAGAATTTTAAAATACTGAGTACCTTATGTTATCTACAATATACTACAGTATTTGTAATATTTCAGGTAAATTATAAATTTTAAAACTTGATTTTTATTATATTATTTACTAATATTTTTAATTTATAGGAGGTTTATGGGCATTACTTAAAATTATTTAAGAGATTCAGATATTAGAATGATATCCACCTCTGTTATTTTAAGATTTTATAGAATCTGATTTATTATTGAGTACTAATATATAATTTTTTTTTTTTTATATTTCAAAATTCTAACTCTAAAACATATATTTTTTTGAGACATATATAGGTTAAATAAAGGCAAATCAGGCACCAATCAGCATCATGAAACCCTGACATGAATCTGGTTTGAAAAAGATATTTTGTGCAAATAGGAGACTTTAAGATACAAACTAGATTTATATTAGTATTTAATACATACTAGTATGCTAATAGCTCTATAGGTAAATCAAAAGGCTATAAGGCAAGCTTTATTGATTGATCTATAGAGCTATTGGCATTTTGATATGAATTGAATGCCTATATGAATTCTTTGCACCAAATATCTGTTTTAAATCAGGCTCATATTGGAATTACATGATACCAATTGGTGCCTGATTTTCCTTTATTTGACCTGTGATAATTATATACTTATACAGGGCTAATATTTTAGTATACTAATTTTCAACTGAAGAAATATGAGTACTGCCAAGGGAAAAGGGTACCTCCATTTTTTAATCAATTATTAATTCAATAATTGATCGAAAAATGGAGACGCTTTCATATAAGTACTACAAAGAAAAAAGAGTGAATGGCTATATTTAATATAAAAACCTAGCACACTTTAATTTATCATTACACTTATTTTAAAAATGCTAAATATTTGTATCAACTTGTTTCACTGAGCTATAAACTGGAATTTATAATGATTAGACTTTTAAGAGTATTCAACGGCAATCTCAACATATAGTATGTATGTACCAGAAAAATGCAATATTATTCTTGTGCTTTTTTTTATAGGATTTAGCTAAATTTAGATATTTATTATCAATTTTATGATTTAAGTTCCAAGTTTCTACGTATTTGGGTTTTGTTTTTTTCTGAGTTTTGGCAATATATAATAAACTGCTTAATAGAGCAATTTATAAAATTGCACAATATTGGCTTTACTATTTGTATATCGCTATGGAAATGGCATTATCAAGTAACTAAAAGCAGCATATATTGATATTTTTTAATTTAAAGTAGTATGCAAAATTAGAACATGTAGAAATCATGATTCGTAGTATGTATGTACAACAATACCAATATCGTATTAACCATACAAATGTATAATCAAAATTTAGCATTAGTATGTCTATCTGAATTTGTACTACTACTTTACTAAATATTTACTAGAAACAATACATTATGCATTATGCTTAGCTAAGTATATATATCGGACCCGATTTACTAACTCTTTCCAATGATCACTTGTACCAAAATTTTGCTAAAACAAAACTTAAATTTTCTTAAAACTGCTCTTTTTAACACATCTTT